GCAAAGCATCTAGTAGTTGTGGGAAAATTCCATGTGTGTCCTTGGAGTCCCAAAAGAAGAAGAGAGAGAAAGTGGGACAGAAAAAAACATGAAGAGGAAATGGCCAAAAAAGAAGCACAGCAACGTGCCATACACAAGAATCTCAGAGAACCCTGGTGGGATGAATACAGGCTCGCACCTAGATGGGCAAACTCAAAACACAAGACGAAATTTCAAAGGTAACCAGAGAGAAATAAACTTTACATACAGAGGCGTGAAGATAAGAGTGACAATAGAAGCCCGGAGGCAGTGGAGTGACACTTTCAAATACCAGAAGAAAAGCTCTAAGACATTTTAAAAACAAAATGAAGTCTTTTTGTATTTTTAGGACAAAACAAATTGAGAGAACTTGCTGCCAGCAGACCTACACAAGACACATTAAACAAAGAAAACTGTGTGGCCCTTCGTGCTGTCCACTCCCTTCCAGGCAAGGTCATGCTCCAGGTCCTGCTTGGGTTTGCTTTTGGCAACATGGTTAGACTGTATCTGGCTTAACTGTGCCACTTGGCTAAAAGCTGGAAGAAATTAAAAAGGACTTGGATGCCAAGGAGAAACCCCCGAGTCGTGAGACGGATGCCAGCCAGCTCTGCCTTCTGGATACAATGATTCTGTCTTCACCACCTGATCCCAGGCAACCTTGGTGATTTTCTTCTTTGCCTAGACCCTGTGTTGCCTCAGAAAAGGTGGGGCCCCGAGTTCAGAACTACCCTTGCATTCCCAGCACCCTGGCCTTTCCCAGTTCCTCCTTCCAGCTGCTCGGGAGGTCCTAAGGCTGGAATTGTGTGCCAGGTTAGTCAACACGACCTTTAATGGGTAATCTCTCCCTTATTCTTTGTGATTTCTACTACCTTTTGTCAAAGGAGAAATGGATGAGTTTTGTATAGCTGATAAGTTAGATATAAATAATACTTATTTTATAGTTTGGCAGTGATAATGGGTGCTTTTTAAGCATTCGTTAGTAAATTTTGTTGTTTTGAAGTAATTAATATCTAGAAGCCAGTTTTTGATTCATTTATTTTATATTGTCAGGAAGCTCCATAGTTGCTAATTTAGCCAGTAAATTAATTTACTTTTCATTAACGGAGAAACTATATTCTAAGAATCCTGCCAGGAATATTCAGAATAGTAGTCTTTGTCTCAGAGTTCACAGTTTATTTATCATGCGTGTTTTCCTTAATGATGTATTTGATCTGACTTGTCTCTCAAAAGAATCATACTTGGGGTTGCAGGTGCACTTGACATTACGTGATAGATAAGTGAGAAATTGTCTATACAGGAAATTTTATGCATTTTCATGTTATAAAAAAGTATGAGTACATTATAACTTCATAGTGATTATTATAACAAAAACGGGGTCCAAACATACAATAAAACCAGCCTGTCAAGAAGAATTTCTGTTTCTCTACAGTTGCTGTTTTATTCTCAAATCAGAAGTTACCCTTGTGGTTTGTCAAATATCAAGTCATCAGTCCTTTTTTTTAATTAAAAATATTTGAATAGTTAACTTTTCCCATGGGTCGAGATACAAAATTTGGTTCCTGGTTCCTAGCTCCTCTTCCTCAGGCAGGCACTGGTAGCAGTTTGCCATGTGCTTCTGAGAAACGGCCTTGCCTAAACAAGTGGTACAGCCATGCACAGAGGTCTGGCCCTCGCCTTGTTATTTTTAATGGACATCATCCCAGGTCAGTATATAAGGAACAAGAACCCTCAGCCTTTGTTGGCTGCAATAGGTTCTGTTGAATAGGCACACCACAGATTGTTCAGCCTGCTGCTGGTGAATGTTTTGGTTGTTCTTTTGCTCTTACAATGATAACCTTAAACTTACTGTTAGTATAGATGTCAATACAAGAGCATACCTACAAGATAAAGTCTAATGTTCACATTAAATATAAATGCCCCTTTCATGAGGTGCTTTGTTTCAGAGGGCTTATTGGGCAGCTCACTGATAATGCCATTTCTGGAGTATCAACAATCTGCAAGAATTATTTAGAGACAACCCCTCCTTTTTAAATCCAAACAGAGATGACACTGATTCTATATGTGATTATAAAATAAAGGATTTTGTTTCTCTTTGAAATCATTGATCTCTCATATATGGAGATAAATTTTATCCCTGTCATGGTTGTCTTTATGTGTTCAACAGATTAGGATAAAATTATGGTTTAGCTTCTTACTTAACAGTATGAAATTAGGCAAATGGCTTATTTTTTCTGAAACTCTTAAGTTATCTGTAAGATGTAGGTATAATACTTACTTACCTCATTAGGGTTTTCATGGGAAATAATTGAGGTAATGTATGTGATATGTTGCTTTGCATATTTTCCAATAAAAATAGATACTCAAAAAAATAAAATTTGTATCCACATAATGATATAAAGATCATCACAAATGGTGACTTTCTTATTTTGAATGTCTTTAAAAGGTAATTAACTACTTAAATAAAATGTAGTAGCAATGTATAAAAGGATTTATAACATAGACATACACCGTGTGATGAATATAGCACAAAGCAAAGCAAGGGGAAGAAAGTGGGTGTATATTGTCAAAAAGTGCACATGAACTATTGTGGTGTTATATGAGGACAGACTATGCTAAGCTAAATATCTGTGTTATAAATCCCAGGGCAGCCCCCCCTTGCCCCAACACACACACATACGCACAAATACACATATACACAAAAGAGAGAAAAAGCCATAATTAAACAGCTAGTAGTGGAAATTAAATGGCATTATCAATCCAAAAGTAAGCAGAATTAGAGGTTAAAAAAAAGAACAAGGAACAGATGGGACAATTGAAAAAAACTTAGCAACATAGTTCCAGTCATGTCAATAATTATGCTAAATGTAAATGGCCTAACTACCTTAATTTAAAAGGCAAAGATTTTCAGATTGGGCAAAGCCATATAATCTGTACCAGAAAACCACTTTAAATGTTAATATAGAAGTAAGCAAACAGAAAATGTAAATACCATGCCCATGATAATAATAAAAAAAAAACTAGAGTTTCTATATTATATTGGAAAGTAGATTTAGAATCAAAGAATGTTACAGTGTACAAAAGAAAACATTTTATAATGAAACGAGTCAATTCATCAATAACCCAGCATGAGTACTTAGTAGTAGGACTTTTAAACATACAAAACCAAATGTAGCACTAGACATTGTGATGCCATGGCTGAAGCTGACCCTGGGACACCTACATCTCAAGTCCGAGTACTTTGGATCAAGTCCTGCCTGTTTCTCATCTGGTTTTGTGCTAATGTGCCTGGGGGGTAGCAGATGATGGCTCAAGTACTTGGGTTCCTGCTATGCACATGGCAAGGATAATGGCTCCTGGCTTTGGACTGACCCAGTCCTGCATGTTGTAGCCTGGCCCAGTGCTGGCTCTGTGGGCATCGCAAGTTGAGGGACATCTGTTGAAAAGATCAGACGCCATGATGAAGAGAAAGTCCTTTCAGGAATGCAAAACTGTGACATAGCATTTATTAGTATAATGAAGAAAGAAATCATATTATCTCACTAGATGCAGAGAAATAATTTGATAAAATCTAGCACTCATTCATGATTTAAAAAAAGATACAATAAACTAGAAATAGAAAGGAACTTTAGCTTTTTCAACCCAATACTGGGCATCTATGAAAAACCCACATCTAACAACATACATAATGGTAGAAGACTAAATTCCTTCCTCCTGAGATTAGAAACAAAATGAGCATTTCTGCCGTTGCCACCTCTCAGTACTGAATATATAGAATACTAGGCATTCTAACCAGTGCAGTTAGGTGAGAAATAAAAGGCATCAAGATTGGACAGGGAGAGAAAGGAAACCTGCCTAGGATAGTGCTCTGTCCAGCTTCAACACTGAGATACCCTGGAGGAGAGGTATGCCGTGGTTTGGTCCCAGAGAGGAGGGATGCCTGGACAGTGCCAAGTTGGGAAGGAACCCTGGAGTTTCACTAAGATGCTGGGTTGTGGACCAAATGCAGGCATCGTTCACCTGGATGCATCCTCGGTGTCTTGTTCACTGTGTGCCGTCCTCTCTTCTACTCTGCAAGCTCACAGCTTGGAGAACCAGCAGTTTAGCTTCACCTCCACTTAGAGAATACTTTCAAGACTTCTGGGATATTTGGAATTTGGCTAACAACTGGGTCTTTTGAAGAGCTGCTCACTCACAGCAAACGTGAACAGCATGTTTGCAGAACACTTGTGTGGTTTTTAAATGGGCTGCAGTGGGTTTCCCCTTGACGAATGCTTTCTTTGACTCATGAGTTTAAGGGAGCAGCATATGTGTGCTTGCCCTCTGCTGGAACCAACCCAAGTGCAGGACTTTCTCCTGGTTGCTTGGCAGTGTTTCTTGTAGGGCTGGGCAGTTAGGCCTTTAAAGCCCTGACAACTGTTGACAAGAGGCCAAGTTTGATGAGAGAGGGGGCTTCGGTGGTTCTTCTTAGGTCTCCCGCTGAGAACAGATGACTGCTGCTCAGCCTGCAGGCCTCAGCTTTGCATCCTGGGCCGTGAGCCCCCTCCGGTTAATCCTAGCGCGGTGCTCAGCCTGTGTCGGAGCTCATCAAGCCCACGGAGGATGGAGGCCGTAGTCTGCCTGAACCCTTGGCACCTGATGACTCTCCTACCCTTTGCTGGGACCTGCTGCTGAGTCACTCAGCCTCCCTGTCCTGTTCTGGCACTCAGCAGAGCCACTCGGCTTCCAACGCTTCTCCTGGCTCCATCCCTCACTGTGCCCTTCACCCCTCAGCTCCCAGTGATGGGAGGGGTGCATGTCCCTGGGTGGCTTGGTTGCTCCCTGTCCTGTAGACGCCATTCTCTCTGCTCTTGTGTTGCCTGTGCCGGTGCACAGATGTCTGTGTAAGGTAGACGGTTCTTGAAGTCGTGCCTTTAGAGCTAGGGATTGGAGGAAGTGGGCTTGGATGTGGATCTGATTAGTTTTCCCGTTTTCTCCCCTTCTAGGTAATACTTTCTAATATTCAGAACAGAAGCCCCAAGCCTGGCCCTGCTCCCCACGATCAAGAACTAGGGTTTTTCCTAGAAACAGGACTTCAGAGAGCCCATGTCCTCTATTTCAAAAATGGGTAAGCTTTCTTCATTTTTATTAAGCACTTCCTAAAGAAGGAAAGTAGAGCCTTGGAATGCTGTCTCCAGTTTAGTTATGATGATAAAGCAACTTTAAAGATGAGCTACAATTGAAACTCTTTTTTAGAAAAGAATGAGCATTGAGTCTATTTGTCTCTTTCTCCACCTGTTTGTCTTGCCTTCCCATGAGATTTGAAAGTGGGAGAAGGGGGTGGGGGAGGCACCCACATGAGTATGAGTCGTAAGCGTGGGACACCGAGACCAGGCAGGCGAATCTGTTGGGTACCATGCCTGCCCTCCATGGGAGGGCACTGTACAGGTCTCCCCATTTGGCTGAAGAAAAGTCTGATGAGCTGGAAACCCTGGCCCACAGGAGCCTCTTCCTTTTAGAGGCTGGTCTGGTCACAGAATTGGATTCGCCACGTGTCAGATGACCTTTATAAAAGTGAGTGTGGCTGTGGTGCCACACAGAACATTGTATTTCTTTATGTTTTAAAAAGATTTATTTATTTATTTATTTGAAAGGCAGAGGAGAGGGAGGAGAGGCAGAGGGAGGGAGAGACAGAGACAGAGAGAAAGATCGATCTTCCATCCGCTGGTTCAGTCCCAAAATGACTGCAATAGCTGGGGCTGGGCCAGACCAAAGCCAGGAAGCAGGAGCTTCCTCTGGTCTCCCACATGGACGCAGGGGCCCAAGCACTTGAGCCATCTTCCAGGGATTTCCTGGGTGCATTAGCCGGGAGCTGGATGGGAAGTGGAGCGGCTGGGTCTTGAACTGGTAACCATATAGGTTGCGGCCGCTGTAGGTGGCAGCTTAACCCACTGCACCGTGCCGGCCCCAGAAATATTTTCTATTTGAGAAGGGTTCCAGAACATGAATGGAAGGCATAGGTCTGTAACGCATTCAATGTGTATTTTCCTGTTTGTGTCGCTCTTGTGGGAAATGTGCTGGTTCCTTTGCAGACCTTCTCATTTGTGCCTTGTTTTGACTTTGTGCTGCAGGATAGCCGTGCCTGAAGACCAACAGTAGGTGCCTGGTTCCCTGTAGCTCCTCCTAGGCTTTACGGGGAGGCCCTTAGGGGCCTGTTCCCCTTCTTCTAGGAATAGAACAGTAGTGCTGTGAGTGGTAGATAGCACACAAGTCCCAACCTTTGAGTGAATGAACAGTGGCATTGTTCCCTCTTCATTTTCAAGTTTTGCAAACCTTGGGGTGTAGCTCATGCAAGTGGTGCCTAGAGCCACCTGTATCCATTTTCCATTTCTCGAGAATAAATACTCATTGCCCACATCCTGTTAAATTCCATGTGAGAGGGGCCTGCGTGAGCTCGTGAGTGAAGCTCCGCGTGGCCTCAGAGGCCCAGGATGAACACCCCAAGGTTCAGACGTGGGTTGGAAGCCTTGACACGAAGCTGCCACTCAAGCTGCATCTCAGCGGCCATTGACTGAGACCCCCTGAGCGATGGCACACGTCCCCTGAGCCGAGACTGACTGCCTTTTCCTTGCTGTTATAAACAGCGGGCGAGAACTCAGAGTATCTGTCTAGTGACCTGGTGTTCAGAGGGACCGTCCCTTGCTCACCCCCCCCCCCCCCAGCTGCAGGTGTGCATGTCTGGAGACAGCAGTGAATTCTCCTGGGGCTTCCTGGGTGACAAACCAGTGCCTGCCACTGAAAATGCTTTCTGTGAGAGTCATCAGGGTGGGCTGCAGGGCTTGTGCTGATGTGTGAAGCCTGTTCCTGAAGGAGGAGGGAGTGGAACTCTTGGGCTCTGACCTCACCTTGAGGAGCACTGGTGGCCTACTGGAATCGAGCAGCTTGTGCTGGATGATGGATCACAAGCAGTTTTTGCTTGCTGACTCATTTCTCATTTTATGTCCCCAAGCCCAAGGAAATGTCCATTGAGACAGCCTCAGGGACCACCTAACTTTGCAGCCTTTTCTCTTCTCTTATCCTCTCTGGGTGGGCTCTGAAGACCAGTGATTGGATTGGGCCAGGTACTCTCAAAGGTGCAGGTGGAGGTGAGGGCCAGGAGGGCCAGTTTTGAGAATGCAAAGCTTGGACAGAGGAGATAAAACAGTGGAGGGGGTGGGGTTGGAACATGCTGTGTCCCTCAGGCTGCCTGACTCACACTGGGAGGTTTACTCTGGGCCTGAGAGCACTGGGAGGGGTGGGGGCGGTCATTGGTCAGTGGACTCCCACAGTGAATACCTCTGCGGAGCAAGCTGGCTGTAGGGGACAGAATGGAGGTAGCTGCCGTCCCCAAGCCCCAGTGGCTTCCTGCAGTTGCATCTTCTGATGTATTTGCACTTTGTTGTCTCACTTCTGCTTTCCCGTCTTCATTATTCTGTGTTTCTGCAAGGATGTGATGGACAGCACGGACTGATGTTCAGTGCTAGGAAAATGCAGCGTAGACCAGCTTAGCTGTAAGGGAGGGCAATGGTGAAAGCCCGTGTTCTTCCCGTAGGGACGCACCTACATATGTACTCTGCGGCTTGGCTGTCATCATCAAGAATTGAATTGTGTAATGCGTCTCACTCTACCATAACGCTCCCATCTTTTTCGGAGGTGGCTGCCAAACGGATGGTCTTGGGCATCTCACTCAGAGAACCTGGAACCAGCGAGACTATTCTGTGCACCCAGTGTTCTGACATCTTCATTGGTGCTCACAACATCAGCTCTGTCTTCCCCGTGCCCACCCCGGGAAGTGGACAGTGTTTGAAGAGGTGTCCCTGTGTGCAGAGTCTGAATCAGAGGGGCAGTAACTTGCTGCAGGTCACACAGCAGGTCTCACCTGGATTCCAGGTGCCTGGCTTCAGTCCTGTCACCTCTGTGGACTGCCAGAGAAGTGCTGTTACTCCGCATGGAAGGACTTAGTTAGGCCCTCACATGGTGTCCTTTACTCTGCCTCTGTGAGAGAGCACTTTTCTCAAGTATTTATTTATTTATTTATTTGAAAGTCAAAGCTATATTTATAGAGACAGACAAAGACAGAGACACAGAGGTCTTCCTTCTGCTGGTTCACTCCCCAAATGGCCGGAAAGGCCAGAGCTGTGCCAGGCTGAAGCAAGAAGCCAGGAGCTTCATCTGGTCTCACACATGGTGCAGGGACCTACTTGAGCCACCTTCCTCTGCTCCCAGGCCATTAGCAGGGAGCTGAATCAGAGGCGGAGTAGCCAGGACACGAACCAGAGCACATATGGGATTCCCATGTCTGTGTCCCAGGCGGTGGCTTAATCTGCTGTGCCACAAGGCCGGCTCCTGTGAGGCAGCTCTTGACCTCCAGAACTAGACATTGCAGGTGGTGGATCCCAGCTCTGCTGGTGTGGTACCTCTCTGCAGGCTGTTCTCCTGTCTCACCTCCAGCGGGTCACCGAGCAGGAAGTTGGGTGGAGGTGGTTTGGACTATAGGCTCCCCTGAGGTATGTGCAGCCATGTCAGTCAAGGAGGTGTTGTGGAAGGGCTTTGGGAGTCCTGTCATTACAGTCAAACAGATAGGCCTCTCTTCACCACTGTGCGTTGACTTCAGAGAGTTTTTCACTTTCCCAGATAATCTTGTTGGCCTTTTCAGCTGTTCATCCCTGCTCAGTGTAGCCCAGACTGAGAAGGCAGAAAAAGGGGCCACGAAGCCCAGCATACCCTGTGGGCTGCCAAGAAGGGGTGCTTCCTGGGTTGATAGCCTTGGAGACAGCAATGGCAGACAGGCACCTACTGCCCATGTGATCATGGGGAGTGGGCCAACCTGTTGACACGCTGGTCTCCCTGGGCGCCAGAGCAACTTGATCTTTGAGTTCTAGCACTCAGGTCATCCTCCCCTTTGCTGTGGTAAGTTTTCATTTCTTAAACCACACACTACTTTTGCCATCACTGCCAATGCAGTGAATGTGAGAGAATTCAGACATGTTTCCTGCGGGCACTAATAAATACCAATTTGTTATGCATGAAACTCACTAGGAGATACGGAGATGAAAAAGAAAGGACATTGCCCTCTGGGAGATGGTGGGGAAAAAAGAAAAACAGGACACATAGACATTAGTAACTTTAAAGATTTTAATATGGTTCTTTTTAAAAAGATTTATTTATTTGAAATGCAGAGTGACAGAGAGAAAAGGTGGGGGGATCTTCTGTCCGCTGATTTACTCCCCAAATGGCTGCAATGGCTGGGACTGGGCCTCCTGTGTGGGTTGTTGCAGGGGCCCAAGTATTTGGGTCATCCTCTGCTGCTTTTCTAGGCACGTTATCAGGGAGCTGGAGCAGCCAGGACTTGAACCAGTGCTCCAGTGTGGGATGCTGGCTTTGCAAGCGGCAGCTTAACTTGCTGTATTACATTGCCAGCCCCTATATTATGGTTCTATAAAATAATGAACAGTGAAAAAACAACTAATCACTTCAGATGAGCTGAAGTGTCCAGGCCTGTTTATTCATTCCATAAGGTCATTTGTTCATTGAATGATGATTGATTGTGTATCTTTTAGATGCCAAGTGTTTGTTAGTGGGTGAAGAGGAAGGACAAAGTGCCTGTCCTCCTAGAACTCATGGAAAATTAAGTCTCCTGGGGAATTAAGAATTAAAACAAGCCATTTGGGGGGTAATCTGTTTATGTTGTGAGAAGGACAGACCAGGTTGCCATAGAAGCAGATAAGGTGACTACCATGCTGGGGTGGCCACATGGTTTGGAAAGGGGGACACAAATTTGAAGAAGTGGTCTTAAAATGGGATAGATGCACACATCCTGGGGAGAGCCAGGGGCACATCTGCATGATTGGTGGATTGTGGAGCCAGGTGTGTTCTCAGTGTCGTGTGTATTCTGCAGGGTATACATTGACCAGACTGAGTGGAATGAGGGTGTACAGAGAGACTTTCAACACAGAATCTGTTGTCTAACAGTGTTCACTGAGTTCTGTTCTGTGCTAAGCACTGTCCTTAGTACCAGTGTGCACTGACCAGTGTACAAGACAAGTCCAGGCTCTCTGTGAGGAAACTTAATGTAATATAGAGAAGAAG